GTATATAGGCGCGTTGGAAAGGTGAGATATTCAGCTTTCATACGAGTATTCGATGATGAAAATACCTTTAGGGGTTGTCGAGAAATTCACGAAAGACCGAAAACACTGAAAAAAAAACGCGAAAACCGTAATTTTTCTGTTATGTATAAGACGTTAAGTATGTGTTTTTTTCTTCAATTTCTACAGCTCATAGCAGGCGACTCGCCGATGAAACTACAAAGATGTATGTAGGCTTGTTGGAAAGACAAAATATTCAGCTTTCATACGAGTGGTCGATGATGTAACTATCTTAAGGATTTTTAATAATTTAAGTTGTGAATATAGTTTATATGTGATTTGGAAATGTTTTCGTTGGTTAATTGTGCATTTTAAAAAAATCCTCAATTCACTGATTTTCATTCGGGCTTTTGTAATTATTAGAATGCACTGGCTGTAATTGAATTAAATTTTGTATAATTGCCGTTTTTATTGAAATGCAAATGTATTGTTTAGATCGGACTGGGAACGTGTTAATTAATTGCGCAATTCAAAATTAATTCTCATTTATAATTTTAAACGTGACGCTGGCAAAAAAAAATTATATATATAGAGCGAGAAGAGAGAGAGAGAAAATAGCGAAATGCGCGAACGTACGCTATAATTAAAATTTTATCTACACACATGGTATATACTATATAGTTTTGTACGCTGTAGTAACAACGGGATTAATGATTCAATTTTCGCGCGCCGCATGTCTGTGATTCTTGATTCGAAAACTATTTTAAACACTCCACTCCGTCACTTGTATGGAATTAAGATTAGTTTTAATAAAAAAAAAAGAAATAAATAAATAAATCTGGAGGGACAAATTAAACGTTCGTCGCATTCCGTGCGAAGAAGGGTGAGACGGAATTAGGTGTGGGCGGTCGACGGTGAGATTGAGGGTGGAAAGGAAGGTACAGGGCACGAGAGAGTACTAATAAAAAGCTATTTAATATTTGGGGTTGGGCGTGCTAGAGTTTTACAGTTTCACCCCGCTGCCATCCGTAAATTTCATTGTCCGTGATCAGTTTAAAGTGTTCGTGAGGGTGGCTTCGAATTCTCGGCTCGCCGGGCGCTCAATAATGTGCGAACTAAAGTAGAGGTGGGGATGTGTATATATCCGTTGTTCTGGTTGCAAGGTTCGTTTGGTAACTCTCTCTCTCTCACTCACACACACATATATTCTCTATCTCCGCATCTCTTGGGAACCCACTTACGTTCATGCCATTTCAAGAAAACTTTAAATAAATTATTTCACTTCAACACTATCATTTCATTTCAAATAACAACTAAATGATAATCACATGATACAATTCAAATAATAATTCAATTGAATCAAATTTATTTTAGTTTAATTAAATCTTTAATTACTATGAATTATATTATTTTCCATTGAATAATGTTTTTATTTAATCAAAAATAAATGAATCTTTGATTTTCCTAATTTTCTGAACTTTATTCTTAAGATTTATTGTTCCAAATCGGAAATGTGGGATAAATTGGTTTTGGTTTTGGAACTCTTTAATAATGCAAATGTAAAGTAAATTTATGAATATACAACTTTATTACATAGTATGAAAATATATTATATATTACAGACAAATCTTGATTCTTTTTCTTTATTAAGTACAATTATTAAATAAAATCACATAAACAAATTGCTTTTGGCGTATCGGGAGTGTTAAATCGTATAAAAAATTAAACATTCAAATAGGCTCTTTTGTTTTTTAATCATTTGATGCGTGTCAGGATGATTAATGAGTAGCAGCACGTAAGTGAAAAACTAAATTAGTAGTGGTAAAGGAAGAACTTACCAGTTCCAGTGGATGGTACAGACGTTGGTGTGGCAGATGATGCATATGCTGGATGCGTTGTCTGCTGTGCGTGTGCCACTGCTGGATTGCAGGCGGCGGCGGCTGCCCTCGAGTTGTACGAGGAGCTGAGGGAATGCAGAGGATCGTGGAACATGTAGGGATATCCACTGGGATCTCTCTGCTGGAGACAACTACTACTTAAACCGCCGGACATTGAGCTGCAACACGAAAAGAGAAGAAAGAAAGACCGATGAGAAAATGCGTGGAACTACATTATCAGATATATATATATGTATATGTATAAGAATTCAACGTCTGTATGTGTTTCTTATACAAACACAAAGGTGTCTGTCGGAATCTCGGCGACTTGACATGCTTGCAGCGGTCACGTCACGTCAGCGGCCGGCCTAGGGATTAGCCTGTCGACCGCTTCAATCCTGCTACTTAGTCGCAGCAGGATACTACGAGTCGAGGGTTCGCTTCGAACTTTATTTTATTTCACTCTTTTTTTCTTCTTTCATTTTGATTTTGTTTCGATGCTAGGTGAAATGAAAGAAAGCGTTTCGGCTACTGTGAAATGTATCAGCACAACCATTTCCACCACTATTTAGTTGTTGGCAATGATTGTAAATTGAAATGGGTTCGGGTGGGTGCGCGAGTGTGTATAAACACTTATTTATATGTAAATTGGCGGAAGGCAAGTTGTAAAGTGCAGGCGCAGCAGCATTAAGTTAATGCATTACAAGCCATTACATCTGAAATTAATTAATCCGTCGGCTAGTTTGCGTGTTGATGGATTTAATCATACCTATATGTGTCGGCCATTGTGGCGATGGGCTGAGGAATCGACGAGTACATCGAATTGAATCCCGAATTGATGGGCAGTCTTCCAGCTGACGACGGTGGGCTGACTGCGACCTGTTCCACGGCTCTCCTCTGGTTCCTCAGCTTCTCTTCGCGACGCCACTTTGCACGTCTATTGCTGAACCAGACCTGAAACCAAACCAGGAAATCATTATTATTATTATTACCACATCTACTGTTTCTGCTGCTGCTATTGCTATTTGGATCGGACCAATTGCGTTTTGATTTATCGCTTTCCGGGGACGTGGAAAAGATTGTAACTGTGACCAGTAAGCGTGCTTAATGTAAACGGTCAGCCCACACAATATTGGCTATGTCATCGCCCCGCTACATAAATAAAAGAAACGTTTCCCGGTGTACGTATGTGTGTATGTCACTAGAAGGGAAAAAAGAAGGGAAGGAACCGACGTCATTTTTCACCCCGCACATACACACGACGACAAATATGCTATGTAATAGCCTTCTCTCCGTTCCATCTCTACTTTTTTTTTTCCCTTCTCGCTCTCGCTAACACCCCCGCTCCGTCCCCCCACAGTTCCTTCCTTTATTTTTCGTAGCACACCGCGAAATTACTCCGGGAAATGTTTGGAGTGTAAATTTTGCAAAGAACCAAATTCGGCACTCGTTCACTGCGAGATCAATACCACCGACAAACGAGCCTTGAAAACATGCGTCAACACCACGTTGCTTCAATCCACTATACACAGCGATTCTGTTTGCCCATTTTCCAAGCCCAACCAAAACGCCATCCCGCCTCTCATTCTCTTTCACTCATTCATTCATTCATTCTGTGTCTCTCTCTCTCTCAACCCTCGCGATCTCCCTTCCGCGAATCCTTCTATTTGCATACAATGATAAATATTATTCTACAAAAGATCACAACCCCCAACTAATAACAACCCGAAAAACGTCAGCTCGTGCACGCGCTCCTTATTAATAAACCCATTAATATTTGCCCAAGATTTTATTGGGGTTCCACCCCGTCTGCAAACAGACCGAGAGACATCATCATCACTCGGCAAACATTTATGTCTACGTATACGGATGATCGAGCGAGGGCTTGCAGATTTTGTGTGAAAAAAAATATGTTACCTGGATACGTGCCTCAGGTAATCCTATTTTCTCAGCTAGTCTCTCCCGCGCGAACACGTCCGGATAGTGGGTCCTCTCGAATTCTGCAATCAAACCATTGTCTGCGTTTAAAAATTAACACTCAATAACTCGCAAAAAATCGCGCACTACCTTTTTCCAAGCTGTCGATCTGCTCGTTGGTGAAAGAAGTGCGGTTCCTTTGCAGCTTCCGCTTCAGCCTCAGACGAAGTTGCGAGTCTTCATCTCCAGAAGAGTTGTGCTCGGAGTTGCCGTCGGATGTGTTCTCGTGCAAGACCTCAGCTGAAAGATAAAAATTAAACTTGATTAACACAACACTTGTTTATTTTGCGCTCCGAACGAATTTCCGCATCGACGGCTTCGATTCCTTTTGAGTCATCAAAAAATAAAGGGTGTTCGAAATTGTTGCGGGGAAAAAAACATATAAATATTTAGCCTGCGTTTTCCTCTTCTACACATTTAGTTCTCTCTGTATATGCCTTTGCTCTTTGTATTAAATTAGATTTTTGCCGGGTTTATTATGTCGGCTGATTTATGTGGGCGCTTTAAGCGAGAGGGAGAAACGCGCTAAATCCATGTGTGCGTTAAAGAGAAAGAGAGAGAGAGAATGAAGGGCGGCCCGGGGAGAAATATAATATGTATTTAAAATAATTCAGTTTGGCGAGGGACGATGCTCCAAAATGAACATAACTTCCGCGCGGATAAACTTTCGCTGCCCAATCTAAACTGGTAATTGTGTTGGCGGTAAATTATGTCTTAACACTTGACAACCGCACAATAATAACTTCAACTTCTCCAAATGATTATCAAACCAAATTCATACAACAATAACATATAAGCAAGTTCTTATATTTAAACACTAAACTACTGCACAAATCAATTAATTATATTATATAATTTTATTAAAAATATATAATTATCGAATATCTAAATATTGAATGTGTTTTAATTTAGTTTAATTAAGAGAAAATATTGATCGTTTATTTTGTCTTATGCGAATATGAAAGTAAGAAGTAACATTAACAACAATGTCTTTTTTGTTCATCCATTTTATGCCTGGAAATGGGGGGAAATGTTCTATAGGGCTTTTCTGGGCTAAGAATGAGATAAAAAGAAGACACTATAAAAAAAAGAAGAAGTTAATTTGGCCTGCTCCGTATTTTTTTGTTGTTGTTGTTGCGTGTGCGATCCCGAGGAGGAGGTAAAGTTGTAAAAATTATCTTGAAAACAAAAGTGTAACAGTATCAGAGATAGATCCAGTCATTCTAGCGCAAGAGTCTTCTTCCACTGTTTCCCACCACCCGTCCGTATCCCTCTTTACTTCCGCTTCTGTAAACTCCACCCCATTTCATATCCACCCTCGCCATTTCATTCTCCTTGTTTTATTTCATCTTCTGATCCTATTGCAGTTCCCCCTCTTAAACTTCCCTACCAACCCTGTTTATGTTTTCCACAGACGAAATTTCAGAATTTACATAATTATGTATATACGTTTGTATATACATATACTATATATTATATAGAGTAGATGTACGGCTGTGTGTGTATATAAATAAGAGATGTTTACCTCGTTTCTGGAGATCGTCTCGTGTGATTTGACTAGTTAGCGCTGAAGGTGCTGGTGGTAAACTGAGATGCGGCGTGGTTGGCGTTCCTGGATACCATGCCCATCCTGGTGCTTGTCCATTGAACATACGCAGTTTGTCGTAGACGGATTCGTTCTGAGCTGAAGCCTGCTGTTCCTTTTGAGAAGCAAGATTGCGGAGGACGCGGTTTATGGACGATACCTATAACAATGGAAACATAATATTGAATTACGTGAAATCAGCTGCAGCGGTTTTTATTTGATTTAGTTTAAGCTAATAACGCACGGGCCGAGGTGTTATCCTTCCGGTCGGATAGTTACGTAGAATGGTCATCGTAATGGGGATTAGCAAGGGGTGCGCTACATCTGCTACACATTGTTTGCATACGCCTGTTTCCCATAAAGCGAAGCAAAACAAAAGGAAGAGCGAACGGAAAAACGGAAAAAGATGATGATAGACGATAGACGAACAACAATTTACAGAGACAATAACTAATTTATACCGAAGCAAATTATAAATAACGAAATGCGCGGGCGCGCAGGTCCCTCCACGCCTGGCTTTTCAATTATCATAAAGGTTGTATTGTCTCTGAGGGAGTTAGGGGTGGTTGACTCGTGCCCTGGGGCCAACAATCACGCGCGGTCTACCGAAAGGGAAATCAGCGCGGTTTCATAAATTGAACAATTTAATTCACAGAAATTCAATTACGCTTCACGATAAATTTCTTTTGAGTTCATTTTGAAATTCCCGTTATTACCGTAGGAAGACCGGGGGTAGCGTGTGGAGGGGTTCGGTGCCGTCGTCCCTCAATACCAGGGCTATTTCACATATGACCGATCACGAATTGTGCAACACGCTTAGCTGATCTCATTCAAAAAATTTCGCTGCCTCCTCTCGTGCGCGCCCCCCCAATTTTTATTTTACGATACTCGCCGCCCCACTTTTTTTTTTTTCATGAATTGCAAACGCATACACACATAAATCAGAACCATCCTCAGCTTCGTACCCTCGCATTGAAGCAAAAAAAAAAACATTATTATATAAATCCAAACTAAAATGGGAAGAAAGAAACCGTGGAGTGGAGGAAAAAAGCCACTACACAATGACTGCAATCGCATTTCCGATATCAATATCTGGATCTGATCTCTGTCGCCAACAGAAGGACCCGATGACATGTGGTTCCAACAATACTCGCACACGCTCTACATATATTTACATTAATTTCATTACCCTAATTGCGTTTCCACCATTTAAAACCTCCGAAATCGTCGGCCAAAAATCGCTCATTGTGTTTGCGCGGTCCGCCGCTCCCTAATTTTCAATGACTTGAAAAAATTTGCATTTCAGCAAATACTAATAACAGCAGCAACCAACAAAAATGAAATAACAGGATGGACATTTTCATTTAAATGTATTTGATTCTTCTTCGCTTCGCTTTTCTTTTTGGTCGCAGCAGTACTGGTAAACACCGCAAGAACTCATCTCGTTTTTGAGGCCTTGGTCCTTCTCCTATCTCTCTCTCTCTCACTCCCTCTGTATGTGTGTGTGTGTGTATTTCTGTGTGTGCGTCGGTATGTGGGGGTCTAGTTGCCAAGGAAACCAACCATCAGTTGGGGGAGGTGTGTTGGAACGCGACCGAGGGGATTATAAAAATAGATAGAGATTACAGAAAATGGTGGACGACTTGCAGGAGACATAAAACAAGGTAACTCGACGTACAGTTTTATATGAAAAACAAAACAAAAACAAAAAACCACGGAAATGTAAAAGGAAACAAAAAATATGTACGTTAGAGGGAAATTGCGGTTACGGAAACTGGGCGGCAGGCGGCGAACATAAAATAAGCAGTTTAATGAATTTCTTCCAAGATCATGTTAAATATATATATATATAGCAATAGTCGATATATATAGACGTGGGGCGCTGAAACGGCCCCATTTACAGACGTTTTCGTTCTTACAGTAGCATTTCCTTTTCACGTTCGATTGCACTCGAATAGTTTGACCTATCATGTCTGCTTTTACCCCTTACACTATTTATGTGAAAAACGGAACTACCGTTTCGCAACGAAACTCTACGGCTCATCCACATTCTATTAACCACATCGCACACCTCGCATCAACAAATTGAACTAATATTACTTTAACAAAGGTGAAATTAAAATTATAATTTATTACGTTCTTTTCTTAAATGAGAATATTGTAAATATTTCAATATTGACGATAGCTTCGATTATTTTTAAAATATCCGAGTGATAAGAATTTAAAATCTATGAATGAAAATCTTGCGTATCTTTCAATAAGCGTTTATTTAGTTTATTATAGTTTGTGTCTAATTGACTTGTCTTCACTTTCATTATTATTATTTTTTTTCGGGGGAAAAATAAATATTGAAATATGGTATATATAGGGTTGTTTTGCGCACGCGTGCCTCCTCCGCATCGATATTTGCGATACGCATTGCGTGGAAACGCGGCCCTCTAACTGTCTGCGCCTTACCGGTCCGATTAAAAGAGGGATGAACTTTTGGACAGCGAGAAAATGGCGCCAAGGATGCACACGACTCGGAGCTGTTTATTTATTTATTTATTTTTTTTTGCCCGTCGTCTGGTTTCTATGAAAACCGTATAGGCGTTCCGGTTTAAAATCCAATTACTTGTCATTCATCCCTCCATCAGGGACAACCGTCTGTGAGTGAAGATGTTTCTTTTCTTTGGTTATTTGTGTACTTAGGGGTAGTCGCGTACGTGCAAACATTGCAGTAGATCTTGTCACTAATAGAGTTTGCGGAGCGTTGACATACGACATGCAACACAAACAAGAGGCCCGGGGGCGACTTCTGCACGTTATAGGTAAAATACGTTTGCATCTGTGTTTATAAACAAAATACAGCTTGTCGCATTTTATAAGGGTAAGATGGTGATAAGATGAGATAGGTTGAAGGATACTTACGCTTGGAATGTTGTCGTTATTGCATACACCCTCTGATAGCAATCGATCTCTGATTTCCCATGCGAAGATCGACGGGCATTCCCTCTTAAAATCTGCGATCTTGTTGACGACGGGCTGCGTCGCTACCCTTGGTTTGGAACCTCCTATCGCTCTCGGTTTAATTGAACCGGTCTCGTAGTATCTGCGAAAGATTAAATAGATCGTTATGCATCATGATGACTGTTGAACGGTGATGATGATTACCTTCCCAAGATCTTCGAGACGCATCCGTTGGAGACCTGCAGGATGCGCGAGATGTCGCAGGGCCGAGCACCGGAATGTGCCAGCTCCACGATCTTCTGCCGCGTGGAATCCGGAAGCGGGCGACCGTTCACGTAAACGCCACCTAATTGATTGATGCCACTGTGTCCGGCCGTCGAGCAACCGAAGATCGCGTTCTGGCTCATGGCTGCATGATGCATTAGATCTTCTTCTGAAAGTAATTTGTTAATTAATAAAACGCTCTTCGCTTTTAGTGCTTTGAACTTCCAGACCAACTTTGAAACTTTCGCGTGTGCAAACATATTTCTCACTATCTCTCTCTCTAGCATATTCTCTGTTTCTCTCTTCAACATACATGCTTAGCTTCGCTTTACTCTATTCACTAATGTACCGACGGATTATAACGCACTTAAACCCCTTTTATGCTAGATCCTCTTGCGAATAAAACCACTTTCAACTAACTATTGATGCAAAAGGTATTAAATGTTAATGTGTTTTACGTCTTTCGCATTTGTTCATTCATAATTCGCGAAGAGAGAGAGAAAAAAGACGCGTTGGTAGGTGGGTGGGTTGGGTGGTTTTTTGCATGGTGTTGGCGGTGGCGTTCATCTTGGATGGGTTGGCGGGGAAAGTAGTGAAAATGGCGTCCCTTTTGTTGACTCGGTAACCCGTGAGTTCGCGACACTCGCGTTCAAATTGCATTAGCCTTAACATTACATGGAGAATTGAGGATGTACCCAGACGTGAAAGCGAGGAGTGGGGCCTCTTTAAACCGGCAAGATGGTGACAGCAAAGTCGACCAGACCTGAATTAATGATTCCAACCCGTACGCCCGCCAGCCACCCGACGATATGCATGACACTACTACGTATATCTATCTCTCACCTACTCTCTATCTCTGCATATACTTCCATTATTATTTATATCAAGAATTTAATTAATTTACTAACAACCTCCTGAAATGTGACTTCCGCTAATGGTTATTATATACACACACCTATGCATCAACACTTCTATTTACATATACATACATGCATGAATGTGTATATATGTATATATATTGGAACGATATCGGTCGGCCACCCCCGATATACACAATCTGGAAACGCGCATCACAGGTGTGTGCGTCGTTCCTGTATTGGAACCAGCCACTGTGAAACGCGATTGTCGCAAGCCCTCAGATTTTGCACTTTTCTACTCAACACCCACGTGAATATATATATATACACACACACAGAATCTCTCTATCTTTTCCTCTTTCTCTGTTCCACTTGCACATAGCTACCAGAGACGCGAGAGATGACTCTCTTTTCTTATTTCACACATCCCACTTCTGATTTATATATATATATATACCAAAATCATATTAACTCTCTACCACATTGCGGAATTCTCTCTAATTTCCTTTTTTTTTCTTCAGAAAACTCGAAATGCACACTCGAATGGCAATGCCTCTTTCAGGAAGCCCATTCAAATAAATATAAATCCTATTTCGTGCAACAAACACATTTCCAATTAAATAACATCCTCATATATAGATGTGTGTATGTATTGGAAGGACCAAGGAATGTGAAAGAATGAATGAAAGGAAGGAAAAGAAGTAGAAGAAGAAGAAAAAAAAGGAGAATTGGGAAAAGGGATTCGCTTCTATCGCATTCACTGGGAAATCTATTTAAAGTCCACAACAGTGGCCACCACTTGAACTTTTTTTCCTCAAACTCCCCGATAATTCTTTTCTTCGTATAATTGATCGTATTTTTTTTGTATGTTGCGAAACTAAGTACCAATATCAAATGCTGTGCAAAAAACATATAGATGTTATAAATTCATTATTATTTTGTCAAAATATTTATAACTGTAACTTTTGTCACTTTTCTTATTGTTTTAATTAGCAAATGAATGTTCTTGTTCGAACGATGATGATTCACTTTCATGCAGATTGATCAATGATGAAATAGAATTAAGGGGATTTGGGCCTACGCCATGTAATTGCGATGTCTTTTTCGACCGCCATAAAGTATACAAGTCGTCGTCAATCGGATATTACGTGGGCTGTATATTAATTCGATCGTTATGCGTATATGTATGTGAGAAGAGAAGAGAGAAGAGGGTGTAAGCTAAAAAAAAAATCCTCGAGTTAATTGCAGCTTGATTAAAGACCGCAGCATGTTCATTATATTGTGCGAGAGGGGGTGCTATTATACAGGGGAGACCGATTATTTAAAGGTTCAAGGGGGTCGCTATGTATGAGTGTGTGTGTGTGCGTACGAGTGTGATTTGAGAAAACCGCATCCCTGAAATATTTCAACGGCGACACAACAAAAGGATGATAACTATGCTACGAATTTCACACCACGAATAGCACACCCCCAAATTGTGCGTCACCGCAGGTTGCGAAATGGGCAGCAATTTTCATTTCGACGAGAATATAAAAAAATGAGCAATGAAATATGATTGCATATCATCCAACGTCGCACAAACCTTTTTTTTTTCTGTATCATTCTAACCTTGATTTGTTTAGGAATATTTTAAATGAATTGAGAAAAAGTCATAAACTTTACATATTTAAATGAATACAATTAAGCTGATAAACTTTATTAAATGGATTAAGACAACAACAAAAAAATGTTTCATTCTCAATAAATTACATTTAAAATGTACAATACTTTTCACGTCTCAAACAATATAATTATTGTACAATACAAATACTTACAAAAAGGAATTATAAAAACCAATATTAATATTTTGTTTGTTTAAAATATAAAATTAACAATTATTAATTTCGAGCTATATAAATTTAATAAAATAATTTTGAAATGTATTCAATGGTTTTAAACAATCTATTGTAAATTGTCCGAAACTATAATAGTTTGTAATACGGGATTGTAAGTTTATACCTGATAATTGGAGATGGAAGTTCATGAATATGCAATAGCTGCTCAGTTCAATGTTATGTTAACATGAAACAATTCATTTACATTTATTTGAAAAATTACAAAAATAAACAATTTTGTTATTAATATTCAATAATTATAAGAATGCACTAAACAATTCGATTAATATTAGATATATTTTTCTTTGTATGAATACAAAATTGTATTTTTGAGAGAGTATTTGAGAATTCTTGAAAAATTGTAGGTAGTTGTTGATTTTGAGCAAAGATCAAGTTGGTCCTATTCAAATGACGCACTTAGAACGGTAGCAGACAGAGAAAGGATTATATAGTATATAGTAAGGATGAGATTAACATTACCTTTATGTGGCATCTTCCAGAAGGTCTCCGTACAGGTGGGATCACGCAGCGACAGTGTCTTGGCCGTAGAGATGACGGGAGAAAACCCGCCCGGAGTCGGGACGGGTCCGGATGTTGCTCCCAGCCTGAACTATTGCGGACACCTAGAAACAATCAAAAGCCGACCGTCTGATTATTATTATTATTAAGAAACAAAGACCCGAGAGTCCGGTGAATGCGGTGATTCGGCACTATTCCGTCTATTCTATTTATGTATCAATCGCAATCAGCGAACAATGGGGAAGCAACAGACGTTTCGAATTTGTCTTCATTTACGCAGAGCGGTTGCCGACCACCCGTTGGGAACAATAGCTTCGGAGAATTGTCGCTACAGCAAAGCCATCATATATCACCGATCACTACATACTCCACTACATACAACTCTTTCTTTTTTTTCGTTTAATTTGATATACAAACTTTTATTTCTATTTCCATTCCTCGAACGTCGAAGTGCCAGTAGCACAAGGCATCATCGCCACCTGCGTTCTACACTCCTCCTCCATTTATCTCATTGTTACTAGGTGTTATTATGCAGACGTCCAATGTTTTGACACCTCAATCGGATTACAAAAGTCGATTGATTGATTTGTATTTTATGTGTCAATTTCTGGTTACCGCGACCATTTATATTCAATTACATTTCATTCCTATTTAGGAATATACGCTCACTTATCAACCCAATCAAATCCGATATCTCTCATTAATTAAAACAAACCGCTGCGATCGAAAAGCGCATTCAAAGATAACCATTCATTATTAATTAATTAATTAATTACAATTTAAACAAATTATTATTATATTAAAAACAAAAAACAAAAGATGGGCAGCAATCATCCAGATCGAGATACTTGAACTTTAGTTACTGCAAAATTCAATTATATTAACGGGCTTAAACTGTACAAGTTTACACCACATCAAGGAATCAAGTTTCTAATGAAATTACTTTTCCAAACCACATTTCAAACCATCTTCTCAAGTAAGTAAGTGAATACACGCAGGTATCCGCAATATTCTTACTTAATATTAATTAAATTACTAATTTCCACATCAGTTTTACTTAACTAAAAAGTAACAATATAATTGCAGTCGATATTTGCATAAACTCTAATGAATTTTAAGTAATTTAATTGTATTGAACAAAAATCGATTTTCCGTGATTAATTATTGTTTATTTATACGTCGACTCGTATTATATAATTATAATAAATCCCAATTCGAAATAGATGCTGAACAGATGATGATGAAAATGCATCTAAATTAGTAAAATATCAATGCATGCGAAAAACGCAGCGCATTATTGCGTCGGGCGATATTTAATTAATTAAAACGCGAAAGATTGTTAATTAAATTGCAATGTTGATTAATTAAATGCAAACACTATAATTCATTAATTATATTTCGGAATGGGACGCATCGCGCGTATCCAATTTTACTTTGTTTATAGTAATTTCGTTTAATTGAAACTTTCGAGGCGAACTTTTCTCTCCATTTTTCCTCGATTAAAATGTATTTAGTAATTTTAAATGAGAATTTAGTTAACGTAACGTCATATCATTTTGTTAATATCGTTTAATTGGAAATAAATATTTCATATAATTGAAAATAGTAAATTCAATCAAAGTTCAGGATTGACTCAACAACTAGTTAAGCATTCTGAATCCAGATTGAAGTATTAAAATAGTTTTCATTCTAAATATATAAATATTCAATTAATTTACTTTATATTAAAAAAAAATATTTCTCAAAGTTTTTATATTTTTTGTAATAATTATTTTATATAGTGGAGTAGAAAAACAAACACATTTATATAATATTTAAGAAATATTGAATAATTCGATATGAATTATATGATAGAAATAAACAATTATTTTATTTGTTTTATTATGCAATTTGTAAAGTGGAATTATTGGAATTCACTGTAAACTACTGTTATAATTGTTTGTTTATATTTAGTGTAATGCAAGGAATACAATAAATATTGGAGTTTATGTATAATATTCACAACAATATAAATTATAAAATATTTTGATCAGCAAATAATCAAAATGTTATTATTATACAAATTATAATAGTGTTGATTATTTCATTATTCAAATAGCATACTTTTTTTAATTGTTTAATTTAGATAAATTAATTTTAAGTTCAGTAGTTACCTTAACAAATTATTTATATATTATCATTTGTCAATGATTATTTAGAGTGAAATTATGTAAGCATTTTGAAATGTATAATAATGCTAATAGTTTTATTTTAAATATCTTTGAAATGTTCATGAATTAATTCATTTTATTAATGAAAATTAATATTTTCATGCGATTAATATAAATATGTATTATTCAAACATTACAATTATAAAGATTTTTCTCAATTACAAATTTGATTCACGAATAATTTATTTTGTTGTTACAATTTATAGTCTTTATAGTTTAGTTATTATTATATAGAAAAAAAAATCAATATTAATATTGTTACAATATTTGCATTTTTATCATGTAAATTTAACTGATTGTAATTTTATACTAAAGATTGATTTAAAAAAAATTGTATTGTAGATATAATTTTAATTTCTATTTGCGTCATGTCAGTGAGTGCAATTAAAATTGTATGTGTTTTTTTTTATATGGAAATGTGTATTAATTATTATATTTATTTATTGGTGTGAAATTGAGATGCATGTTCAGTTAATCCAATTACCGGCTTTCGGAGCTTTGATGTTGCAATTCGGTGTATTCCCTGTGTAATGGGAAAATATTTGGTTTAAACGGGCATTGTGTATTGTTGCGATTACAATTTTTAATATATGCTGTGCGGTAACATTGCCGTTGCATTCGAATAGAAAGTAAATAGCAAAGGGCTCGTTTGGAAGTTGGCTTTTGATGCAGCCTTTGCTCCTCGCTACAATTTCCCGCGAATGCGAATAGAGAGAAAAAAAAAGAAGAAACGTACATACAAACATACATAGGCGCGCACGCGAGGGAGGGCTTTCTGTGCATTAAAAACTTTTATACACACATAAAACGGAAATCTTTTAGACCTTTTTGAAGTTGCGGCGGTGTTCAATTATATATATACGAGCGCATGTATGTATGTTTTTTTTTGTGTGTGTGTTAAACTATGTACATTTTTTTCTTGTATAAACTCTCGTAATGTGGAGTGCATGTCGAGTGTGTGCTGAATTAACAAGTCGGTGCATTCAAAGGTTATATTCCTTTTTATTTACACCTTTGATCTTCTCCTTTTTTGCGGGCTACCGGAACGGTATGAACGAACATCATTAACTTGGTGGGTGTAGTATATTGGAGACGATGATCGTCATTTCTAATTATGCGTCGAGTGGTCGGTCGCGTGTGCGATTGATATCGCCGAAAGGAGAGACCACTCGAGGATTTGTCGAAGGGTTTTCAAGTTGCGGTACTCACCTCGTGGATATACAGAGGGCTTTGGGGTCGGCGGCGTCGGAGATGTTGTTCTCGGATGATGATGAAAACACGGATCGTCTTCCTGTTCGATTCCGATATAAAGAAGTGTCTGTTCCGGAAGAGTAGCGTAACGCAACGCAAATATAAATAAAAGTAAAACGTCGAAGCACGTCGGAGAAGGAGGAACACTCGAAGACGCTTTAATAAGCTCGGTTGATTGCACAGACGCGATTCCGGTTGATTTGACGGTAATTACCCGTTCAATCGTGGTCCGGTGATCTTTCGCACAGTAATGGCACGTGCTCAAGTATGATATGTGTTCAAGACTACTGTGCTACCATGCGAAGCGGACCAAAGACTGGCATCAGCACCATCCATGTCAGTCAGCCGTGCAAGGGTGACTTGATCCTGGAGTCTGGTTGGGCG